AATTTTGCACAATGATCAAAGCCACTTTTGCTAATAACATGGTGTGGAAGTTCCATGCAGTCGCATAATCTCTGAACAAACAGTTCAGGTCGTAGCAATAACTGAAGATCACATTTCTGCCAGAAAAGGTGGAAAAACATCCTTTGTACTGTTCCACCATAATTGTCCTCTACAGACGTTTCAGTCTCAGCATTTAAGTTTTCCTTTCTTCCCTCTCTGAGGCTGTGAGAATTTCTATAGTTGTCTCCGTGCAAAACTGAGGCCCCTTTCTGTTACGGACTGTTTGTTTGCTAACTGCCTGGCTCTTGCTCTAAGCTGTCTTTTGTGCTTTAAGATCGAATGTACAGGTGAGAAACTCACCACTGAAGTCTTTGAGGTCCACATCATTCTTTATTTTTGTGTGAAAGCTCAATATTCAGTGCTGATCTTTCCCAGTGAGGTCTGTTTTTTTACCATGAGATACATATATATATGCACAATCTGCAAAGAAGAAAATACACAGTTTAGATCAGTATTGAATGGCTATAACTGCAGGCATGTCGATTTTCTTAAATGCTCAAAATAAGATAAAAATCCACATTTATTGGCGCTGGAATTAAAAATTGCAAAAAGAGACAAAAAGGAAGGTCTTTTTCTACATAATTTGGTGGTTTGTTGTCTGGAAGTATAGCATATTTTTAGTTCTGATTGCCATTGATGTTTTAATTGGCATTGATTTGCCTCTCAGCTTTAGTAAAGGTTATCTTGGGATTTTAAAATGCCAGCCTTTATTTGGTTTCTGTGTCCATGTTTTATTGAATCCTAGCATGAAGCTTTGGTCAATTGTCTTATCTTTTGGTTATTATGCTCTTCTCTGAGCCTCGGGAAACTGTTTTTTCCCAATTTTAGTTAGCCTACCATAGGCCTAGAAAAAGTAACTCCATCTCAAGTTGCGCTGTTTAAATACGTAGTCCCTCATGGTTCTGAATAACACTTTGGATGGACTTGACGTGTTTCCCTATGCCATATTCACTCTTCCTGAAGAGAAGTTTACCCCTCACATCTAGAATGTAACAGTATAATCTGAATGGGTAAAACAGACCATGTAGATTATATATAGCATTCCTACAAAAAAAAAAAAAAAAATCTTTAGTCAATGAAATGTATACAATATGCTTTCTGCTATGCTGCAATTTTCTTAATGGCTTTGAAAGCAATCCATACTGTTTTTTATTTTCATAATGATTTTCTGATGCAGTTTCAATCATATGTGAATTCTTTTGGCAGCTGTGGTTCTTGCTTATTTTTTGCTTCTTTTGTTCCATCTATTGTTTGTGGTTCCTTTCTACTGTCTGCTTGTTCTTAATGTCCCCTTTCAGAAGCTGAAATTACCAACTGGGCATTCGGTTTTGTGTCTTGTTCCTGGCTACTTCCAACTCATCTATCAACTTTTCAGACCAATGAACGTTTCCTTTGTGTTTTGGTCCTCTTTTGCAGCGGCAGTGCTTGACTCTTTTCTTTACACTTATTTTCTTTCTCTTAGAAGTAAGAGAATGTTTATTCTGTTGGGCATGATTAAATAATATGCACTGAAGACTTATTCCCCTATGTTAATGTTCAAACAGCTTTGTTAGCACCATAGTAAACCAAGTTAGTTTTGTAAAATAACATATAAAGCCACAATAATACTAGATAGCATTTAAAATCTAAGCACTGAATGGCAAATACTTTCTCAGTCATTTTAGATTTTAATCTTTGGACAGAAACCAAGTATCAAAACTCTCGTATAAATAAAAATACAAAAGATTTGGAGAAGCTAGAAGAATATTAGAAGACATAATAACACTTTTTGGAAATTTACCTATATGCACGTACTGTTAGACATTTATTTCAGCAAGTTAAGTGAGCATTTTGTTAATTTTCTTTTTCCAATTTAATTGTCCCTGAATGTAAACAATGATGAGGCTCATTACTCTCCCTTTGGAAAGAAACCCTTGGCTTAGGAAGACTTGATCAGGAATAATTTCTAAGCATATGTATTCAAATGCAACTATTTCTAAGTGATTTTATGCCTCTGAAGATTCAGTTCTTCAGTCATGAAAGTGAACTATCATTCCTAAACTGGCATCACTTCACTATGTAAAGCCAAGCGTATTTGTAACATTTTTATATTTTGAATCTTCAAATGTACTCTTCAGTTGGCACTTTTTGAGTCTTTAAGTATAAGATGATACACATCACAGAAATATGTTCTATATGATGAGAGGCAAAAAATGTCTGTTGCTTTATTCCTTTGCTTCTGGAGAACCGGTTGTAGTCACAGGGCTAAATATCAGGTTATCCTGCCCATAAAGTTCATCGACAAAACAGCATCATGAAATGAAGAAAGTGTGAAAGAAAGAAAGGTATGAGTGCATCATGGTAAAAAGGAGGTCTAAGAAGAAATAGATGTAGTTAACCATAGAGCAGTTAGTAACTGAGCAAGTACTTTTCGCCCTCCTGTGACGAGGCATCTGTTTCTCATTGAAGGCTTAAGCTTAATTTTGCTGTTGAACAAATCTGGGCTCTAGCTTTTGGAAGACTGGGACACATTTTCAGTGTTCTGGAAAACAACGGCAAACTAGGTTTTTGCCTGGCTATGTTAGTAGAAGAACAAGAAGTCAAATATAAAATACTTAATTCTTAACTATAACAAAACCTTCTGGGAATTGTTGTTTCTCAGGTACTTTTAATTGTTTACCCTATTTCTTGAAATCCCAGTTATTTGTCATTCTAGGCGAGCCTCTCTCACAAAATGAGCTTACTATATTCTTGCTGTCTTGTTGCTAAATAGGCCACCGACTATTTCTAGAAAGGACAACATAAACCCAAAGAAAAACAATTAATACAGGAGAGCTTGAAAGAAATGAATCCTGTCAGTTGCTTCTAATGTCTTTAAGAAAATAGATCTTTCATGTTTCAGTGGCTTATGAGTTCTAATCATCATGATTTTTTTTTTTTATCTAATAACTGTGAACAGCTTGTGATTCACCATTATAAAACTAATGTCTCCCAGCAATAGCAACATGACTGTAGGCTTAGTCTAAGGTGGGAATCCTGCCAAAAGCAATTACGCTTTCTGCATTATCCACTGGATCACCATTATATATTTGGAAATACCATTCCTTTTTTCCCTCCTGTTCCTGAGAGACCAAATGCCCCAGAACAATTGCAAGCATTTGTGTTGATACAAAGTCTAAATGCTTATTTTTAGCAAGTTTTTTATTACATGGCATAGGTACCCTCCCACTTAATCTTCAGAGCAATTTCACACACAAAAACACAGCACTGAGGTTCTTCAGTGCACAACTGTGACACTCATCACTGCTGATGAAAATTTCATTTTACCTGGTTGAAGCTGATCCTGATTTTTCTGGCTGATCCACACAGCTTAGTATTTGCTATTGTGTGCTATGTCCTTAATGTCAAGATTTGTGTCAGAAAGAGTTTTGACCTCATATCCAGGGGCCCCTGGTTGAATTAAATGAGAGTTTATCTGTGTGACAGGTTTCTTAATAATTCTAAAAATATAAAATGTTTTTGCTTTTATCTTAGTATATGTTAGGATTGAGTACACGTGTGTGTGGAATTCAGGTTTTAAGCTGCAGCTCCTGTGTATGCAGTTAGAACTGCAGAGACTTGAACTACCCAGCTGGAGGTGGTGCTTTGTACTTGTCTCTTACTTTGTGCAGGAGAGGAGATCAAAATTCCAGTTTTATCCATCTTCCCCAGAGGATAACACACACATGCAAGGACTGATGATTTACCAGGTGTAAAGATTATTAAATGGAGAGCTGTTTGATATGTTAATTCCAGAGAACTCTGTTTGGTCAACAGGCAGTAAGTGAGTAGTGAAGAGAGGTGGTATGAGTTTGTGCCATGGAGGATGTTCAGTTTGAAAGAACAGCAGTTTTCTTCTGAAGAGTAGTCTGGTTGCACGTTTGTGTCGCTGAAGGGGTACAGAACTCCTTCACACCTTTAAGTGCAGGCCAGCATTAGTAACAGGTCTGTCCTGTGGGTGGGAGGTGGAATAACGCCTTTTGCCCCGTCATGGGTTCATTGCAGCCAGCAGCCAAACACCCACACAGCTGCTTGTCCACTCCCCCAGTGGACAGAAGGGAGAATTAGGAAGAGCAAAAGCAAGAAAACTAGTGGGTCAAGGTAAAGACAGTTTAAGTGAAGGAAAGAGGGGAGAAAAAACCCCACCCAATTGGTGCAAAGTCAGTCACTCACCTCCTTCTACAAGCAAACTGATGCCCAGCCAGTCTCCAAGCAACAGCCACCTTGGAAGTCAGAGCTCCCTACTCTCTTCTTCCTCTACCCCAGTTTAATGGCTGAGCATGGCATTACATGGCATGGAATATCCCTTTGACCGGTTTGGGTCAATGGGCCTGGCTTTGTCCCCTCCCAACTTCTTGCCCACCCCCCGCCTACTTGCTGGGGTGGGCAGAGGGGAAAAAGAGAAAGCCTTGACGCTGTGCAAGCACTGCTCAGCAATAGCTAAAACATTGATGCGTCAGTAATGCTGTATTAGCCACAAACCCAAAACACAGCACCATACAGGCTGCTGTGTGGAAAGTGAACGCCATCCCAGCCAGACCCAGTACATGCCCACTGTTCATGTTTGAAGCCTAGTTTAAGTAATCTGGACTCTTCTTATTTGCTATCACAAACAATTGTGAAGATTTTTTGGGGGTTGGTTTATTTTTTTTCTTTTTCCAAGTGTAGTGGGTTGGGTTTTTTAAATGGAAGTTGAGTTCTGTTTAGTTACATGAGTTCAGGAGCCAGGACAGAGCCTTAACGAAAACTTCCCAACAGCATGGGCAGATTGAACTTCATTACTCCAAAGACGTTTGGCCGAGGTGTGAGAGGTCCAGATCTCTCCAGTATCAGGAAGGGAGGGAAGGATAGGGGAGGAACTGAGACCGAGACTGGGGTGCAGTGCTCCAAACGAGCCAGGCTTTTCTCTATTAAGGGTGGCCATGGTGCTTCTGAGAAGGCACTGCCTATGGTTTTCCGATTTTTCTGGTGCAGGCAGCTGGCTCTGTTTGCTGGCAGCTGTAGACAGCGTTATTTCATCTATGCCTAAAACCATTGACTGGTTATCGAAGAAGAACCGTAAGTCTGACAGGAGATGTTATAGCATCCTAGAAATCAGCAATACTGGCATAAATTTTTTTTATTTTTCAGTGATCCTGGGATGACACTGTTGTTGTCTCTGTCATCTTACATGCAGCATTAAAGTGATTTAATACAGAAGATCACAGTAGTGTGCCAGTAACAGTCTTCTGTGGAATTCTTGCCCAGGGATCCAAGTGTAAACTGGTGCTTTATTTTAATGTGCATTTTTGAAGGTGGATTATGAGACATTAACACCTTTATTGTAGCAAGTTCAGATAGTATTCAGTCTTCGCTGCAGATAGGAAACAATTGTTCATGAGTGTGTGGGGAGGTAGTGAGTTGGTTTTGTCTCAGCGAGAGCATAGCGGTTTGGAATAAAACAAGGAGTTCCAGTAATTTAAACAGGAAAGCTATTCAGAAAATTCACAGCCTTTTTCAGAAATCTTTGCCTAACATGAGCAGGTTATACCCTTAATGCACTTGAGATAAGTATTGGAACTTTACATAACAATTTGCAGTTGGAGTGGAAGAAGTCTGACCATCTTGTACCCTAGCCCTAGAAAACCTGCAACATCCTTTTGTAAAGGGGTATTACTCATGAAGTTTTTTAATCACTTGTATTCTCTCACCTGAGGTGAAATTCTGACCTAATTAAACTTAATAGGTGATAATTGTTGAAACTGGCAGACTCGGGATTTCACCCATACTGTTTAGGTGCTCTTAATTGGAGTATAGAAATAATCAGGGTATGAGACATGACTGTGGTAGCAAAGATAGATAGGGAAAGCCATGAAAAGAGAATAGCAATTAATAATATCAGGCATAAAGGGATGTTATTTTTTTAAATTAAAGATGCAATAACTTCAAAAGAGAAAATATTAATTCAAAACTGCGAAATTTAAAAAATAAGTCAACTTATTTTTGCCCTTATTTGAATTATATTCAAGGATTAGTGCACTAAATAGCTGGGCAAAATTAGCTTCAATTACACTGTGATTTATATCTATAAGCAGGTCAGGTGTAGCAGGGATTGCAGTGACGCTGATGATGTTTTCCCTAGAAGGTTGTCTCTTGTTCAAGGTGACTACGTGCAAACCAAAGAAGGCGTAGGTGGTAAATGAACATTTCCTTACTGTACCCTGGGTTTAGAACTTAGGCACTAGTATAGCCTGCAGTGTCAAAGAGAATAACCCAGAAGAACTAGCTCTTCTACGCAGACTGCAGTGGTCAGTAGCATTCATCACTTGGCTTGAATTGTCTCTAGTGATAAAAAGTGAATCATCAGCATGTTATTTACACCTATGAGGTTATTCTTTCTGCAGCATGGCCGCAAGTGTCATCCAGAAGGAACAGCTTTTGCTGAGTCCTACAAAGCAGGAATTAAAATAATGCCTTGAAACGGAAGGGTTTCAAAGCAAATCAACTTCTTACTTTTCTACTGTTAATAGGTTTGCTTCTAGTTTTGACTTTACATTTCCCCAAATGGAAAGTTATTTAAGGTATTTTGCAAAAAAGGTCAGTGAGTCTTGACCTCAGAGCCAATTTATTTTTAACTTGACAAAAAAGTATCTATTTCCATAATACTGTGTGTGATCATAATGACTCTTTATATAAATTTCAGCTGCCATTGATGTTTGCATCACCATCTTTTACAGTATAAATAGAATTTAAGAATAACTTGGTGAGTTTTATTTCTAAATTAGTTGTCTGGGAATGTGAACCCCATCTCTGATTTTGTTGTTCTAGTGGAAGCTTTATATTACTGATTAATAATACTAACAAAATAATAATCTCCATAGCAGAGGAGTGCTGTTTTCTCCTGGTATTTATGTGATCAGACAATTTCATTATTACTCAAATATGTACATGATAGAGTTTTCAATACATTTTTTGAAAAAATTCTCCCACCTAATTGTTTTTCTTTCTCCTTCCTAGTCTGCTCCCAGTTTTCAAGAGGAGTCTTTGCTATTTTTGGATTCTATGACAAGAAGTCTGTAAATACCATAACATCGTTCTGTGGGACTCTTCATGTGTCCTTCATAACTCCCAGCTTCCCAACAGATGGGACACATCCCTTTGTCATTCAGATGAGACCTGACCTCAAGGGAGCTCTTCTTAGCTTGATTGAGTACTATCAGTGGACCAAGTTTGCGTATTTGTATGACAGCGACAGAGGTAAGATGTGGTACTGCTTATCTGCATGCTGTTTGCTTGATGTATCTCGCTGAAATGCTGCATTAGTATTAGAAAAGTAAGCGAGGAAAGGAATACTTACTTGCAGCAGGTGTAAGTGTAAGCTTAAATTTAGGAATGAGCTTTTGGGACAGAAACAAAATTGTTTAAATGAGAAGGAAATTATTACTGTATGTATTGACAGAATTGCAAGCATGTGCTGATAAGCAATGTGAGATTAATCACATGTTGTAAAACAGTTTCTACAAAAAGTTTTTTCTTTTTTCTAAAGAATCATCTAAGGGGAAAAATAAACATTGAGCATGAAGGGCATTCTACTACCACACATTCACTCAACACATGCAAAATCAATAGTCGGGCACTAAGTAAGCAAGAATCTTGGATGCAATCCCTGCTTCTTTGGAGAATGCTTTTGATAAATACTCAAGTTCCTTCTCCTCCGTTGAGCTTAGATTTTTTGTTGTTGTTGTTGATAAACACAAATCTACTGCTTATGAACAATTTACTCTGCAACACAGCCTTCTCAAGTCCTATGCCCTTTCATGGCTGTAGTAATAATAATATAACAGTTTATGAACTGGGAAAAATCACTTTCAAATTGTGGTATATTAGTTTTCTGAGAAGAAGCAGCATTATACAGAATAGGGGGTTTCTGACTGCCCTTTCTGGAATTCCATTATTGTCATTCTGTTTTCAGGCTCTCCTCACCTAGTAGTCCGTGGCTATCTTTTTTCTACTCTTACCTTCTCCTGTTCCCTTTAAAAAGGCTATTTTGTGGCTCACCTGCATGTTCATTTGCCAGAGTTGAATATTAAGTGCATATTAAATATTAAGATGCCACTAGATTTAAAGGATGGTTGTACCACACCATGGTTTGTTGAGTAATGGAGTGACATTAGATTCTCTGCATTCTAATTCCATTTTATGCATTATGTTCTTCAGAAGCTGAAGGGACCTCCTCAAGGCAGTTCTTATCAGTGTTATAAGCACTAAAGTTAGAAAAAATAATACTGGTACATAGCTTCCAACGGTAATATCATGTGGGATGATGAACCCTAAGCCCATTTCTCTGGCAGATCCTTTTCAAGTTCACATTAGAGTCAGGAACAACCACTGCCACAGATTTAAAACTACTTGCTTAGCCAATACTGCGTCAATCAGCTAGCTGTGTGCAGTACGTGACCTGCGTATAACTTATATTTAGGAAATACCAAAAACCACCTAGTTCTTCTTGTGAGCTGTACTGGCTGAATCTGGCCAGGAATAACAGCATGAAATTGTTATTTGTAGTCACCCTTTGGTTATGCTTTTTTTTTTTTTTCTGGTTGTTTGTTTTAATTGTGGCAAGGCGCCCCAGTGATAACAAGCTCCAAGGCACAAAACTCCTACCTTTATGTTGAGTAAATCGTTGTTCCTCAGTGCTCCCACTGATTGCACAAAGTTAACCTGCAGAGTCAAGCAGTATGTAGTCAGCAACACTGATACCAAACCCTGAATACACAAGGTCTGCAATTCCTCTAAATGCTTTTGCATAAGCGTGACAGTGATGTCTATTCAAGGAATGACATATAATTTAAATAAAAGTTTCCACCTTCAGGAATGAGATAAAAAAGGCAAACTCTTCATGGAAGCTGTTAAAGCTAATAGGAATTAGTTTGATGACTTATTCCAAAAGAATCATTTATCGCTACTTCTACAGCTCCTCTGTGGTTAGGGACTGACTGGTTGAAGAGACAGGGCAATTTCCTATCCCGTTCCTGTCTGTAAGAAGTGAGGCCATTCAGTATATGCATGCCCAAGCTATTACTGGCTTAATATGGCAGTTACTCTCGTACAATGTGGATTAGTGTCCTTTACCCTCCTTCCCACCTCTCTGTTGCCAGTACTAAACGGTGGGTTTTGGAAAAATTAGCGACGTAATTGGAGGATTCTGTCTGTAACAGAATTGCTAATTTACTTGGCCTGTTCAGTCCTCCTTTTCAGAGCTCACTGAATTAAGAGTTTGTCTCATGATAACCAAAAGAGATTCAGGCACATGAGGTTCCCAAACAGAACTATTCCTGCAGTTTAAAAAAAGCCACTGAAGTTGTTGGAGTTTTCTCCTCTGCAGAGTCCCACTTCTGTTACCGCTCTCCAGATACTTCCACATCCACAGAAGTATTGCAGTGAATGCTTTTTTGGTTTTCATTATTCAGCAATCCGTTATTGCGATCAGAATAAACTAAACTGTATGGGGATGACAAATTGGCCACCTATAAAAAGCAAGAAATCCAGGCAGCCATTTGACATCTCTGCAGCACCCCAAGAAAAGGGAGTCCCTTGGAAAGATGGAAGATCAGAGGAGTAAAATATAGAAACTTTTGGTAATGGATAATAAAATTAACAGCCCTTATGACTTTATGCCTGAGATTCTGTTTAACTCAGAGGAAACATGTAGACAGATTGGAGGACCTGAAATCTACTAAATGAGATCTGAAACAATGATTCAGATTATATCTGTTTCTGATTTTGTTTTTTTTTTTTGTGGTTTGTTTTTCTTAATTATTTTAAATCACCATTTAAAACATTATTTTGAAGTATAGACTTATTTTAGTGCTTTTTAATGTTTTAAGGTATTTCCTACATCTTTATTTTGCTTACAATCATTATCTTTTCCTTTTAACATGAGTTCTCCACATTTATTTTTAACATGTTATAACTAGTTTATATGTACCCTTGGACTGTAGTTATCTGTTATTTTAAAATAAATATTCATTGCATGACATACAAAACGTCATATTGGTTGTCTTTAAAGACAACACAGAAAACCAGAACTATTTGAGATAATTGAATTTCTGCTTTTGGAAGCCTGCCATTTTCTACCTTTGCTGATGCCCAGTCTAGTATAGTACTGTATGTCATTACCATTTTCACTGATAAAGCTGAATTGCTAAGCACTGACCAATCTTAGTGTAATGATGTATTTACAAACTATGAGACAAACTAATTCTTAGCGCTTCCTTGCTACATTTATGGGCATAACCATTATTATTTTTCATGACCGTTATACCTTCTTTACGTACCAAGTCAGACATTTGTCTTGGAGAAGTGACTCCTGGTATTCTGTGGATTCAGGGGAGATGAATGTGCAAAAATGTCTATTGGCTTGTGAGAAAGTCTAATTTTCTTTTTCTTTCTATAATACTATCTGCTATCCTTAAAATTGCTCTCAAGAATGATGTAGAAATCTCTGGAAGGAATTTAAACATGTACTGCTGGAAATTGTTAGAATGGTATTTGTTGTATAGCAGAAATTCATTTCCAGCAGTAATTTTCATGTTTCTATACTCTGTTATTTAATCCTTGAAAAGGAAAACCAGTCAAGTAAAATCTTCACTGATTTTACAATATATTGTAGGCAATTGCAGCTGTACAGACATTACAGCTTCCTGGCAGGAACGTGCCAAAAGGATAAAATGGAAGGCAAACTTCTGTAGACTTACCTATATGGAAAAGTATATCTCGGCACATCTTCTTTCATAATCAGGCATATGACTATAGGCAATAGAAGTAACAGCTCCATTAGCACCACTGCAGAACATGGGAATTTTGCCATAGACATGGTGAGGTCCGGGTTTAAATACAGTACTGCTCAAGCACTGAGAACAAAAGCAATTTAATAGCATTTCATAATAAGCAGCTGATTCTGTTGCCGTGATTGGATCACTTTTCTCCTGGAAGACCTTTTTTCCCAGCGTGTGGAATTCCAGAAGTGGATCAGTGAAACTGGCAAAATCCCATTCTGAAGCAGGGTGAAGCAAAACCAAAACGTTGTCCTTACAAGGCTCTGCCTGGATTCCTTGCAGTGATGTAAATAGAAATTTCATGCACTAAGAACCGATTTGGCCCACACATATCTTAATTTCTGAGTCCTAACAATGTGTGACAGGTCAAACAAGTTACAGGGAAATATTAAATAAGTAATTTCATAAATCACGTTCTAAAAGCTTGTTATTCCTGAAGCTTTATCAGTCATATCTTCTGTTTTCTCCTGGGCTTCACTAGGCTTATCAACATTGCAAGCTGTGCTGGATTCTGCTGCTGAAAAGAAATGGCAAGTGACTGCTATCAATGTAGGAAATATTAACAATGACAGAAAAGATGAAACTTACCGTTCACTGTTTCAAGACCTAGAAGTGAAAAAGGAAAGGCGAGTGATTTTGGACTGTGAGCGCGATAAAGTCAACGACATTGTTGATCAGGTTTGCTATTCTCCATTTTTCAGTGACAGCAGTTAGCTATATTCTCTAAGTAAATGTAATGAGTTCATTTCTCTTGATCCTATTTTTGTGATTATTATGCATCATTTGGAAGTGACAGGTTTGTATTGAGGACCACATATATATCAGGCAGAAAGTGAACACAGAAACCGTATAATCCGTCCCTTTGCTCAAAGGCAAGATAATTCCATCTGGATGATCCCGTATGGTTTTATATCCTGATTGTTTAAAAAAAAAGAAACGGCAACAACAAAAAAAAACCTCGTTAAGGCTATTTCACATCCTAAGTACTATACTGTATTATATGTAGTTGATGCACTATTATATATGGTGCCTTATAAATAGTTATATTATGTCTAGGGATCAGTTCTCCTTACACCTCGAAAGTATTTTCTACTTCTAATGCTTTTTCCCAGAACACTTTACATCTCGGGAAGGCTGTATCAACAGCTTCTCTTTTCCATTTAACTCCCTTCATAGTTCATGTTTCTAAACTCTTTGTCATTCGTACTGTCCTTGGGTGTCTCTTTGTTTTGTCTCCTTCTTAAAGTGTGTTAACCAAAATTGGATACTGTTTTACATAGCTAAGGCCTCCTGAGCTTTAAACAGAACAGAAAATTATGTCTTCTTTCCACCTGCACATATATTATTTGCAAAAATGATTTTTTTCGTTTTCTTTTTTTTTACAACAGCATTACAGTGCTCTGATTGAAATTACTGCCTTCCCTTCAAATCCACCTCTCTTCAATCCTAGTGTTTCTGTATCTTACTACTTCTTTTCATGCATGTAGAGCACAATGGAAAATTATGAGGATAGCTCCCTGCTGACTTGAGCTTGACCATGTGAGACACTGCAGCATCTGTAGGGATATGTCATCAGAGTGTAGATGTATTGGTTTGCAGCTTTTTTGAAGGGCTTGTTATTTTGGATATGAAGGTCGTTACATTTTGGAGAGGCTCAGGCAAGGAGCAGTGTCCTAAATGGAGTGCGTTGTATTTGTCTGTTTTATTTGTAATTCATATCCCCAAACTGTATCTCTAATTTTCAAGATTGCTTTGAATTTGATCCTGTTCTCCCAGAGCATTTGCCACCTCCCTATGATCTGCAGATTTTTAAAATCATATTTTCTGGTTTGTTATCCGTGTCAAGTAAAGTACTAAGTAGAGCAATGCTTGAGAGAAATAAGACTTCCAGGTCCCCTTCAGCTGGTTCTGTGTGGCTTTTCAAATGGTTGTTTTCTTACCTTACAGTGATTTTTTTTGTCTTGTCCATGTTCCCTTAAGCACTTGTAATGATGTCATACAGGACAAAAGCCTTATTAGACTCAAGATATGTCACGTCTTCTGTTTCCTCATTATCTATTAGGTTAGCTATCATGTCAGAGAAAGTGAAGAAATTTGCTTTTACATATTTTGATCTTGACAAGACTATATTAACTGTTTATCATCTTATCCTATATATTCTTTTGAAATTAAGTCTGTAATATTCATTATAATCTCTTCCCTGATACAAAAGTTTGACTGACTGTAAGTGTCTTCAGTTTTTCCTTTTACCAATTTTTAAAGACAAGAACGCTATTTACCCTTTAGTTACCATTCATTTTCACTGTCTTTGTTTAGTGATAGACTTCTCTTATTTTGATTGCAGCTCTGGGATATTTTTCTTGCCCTGATCGCACTTTGATAGATTCTGCCTTGTTTTGAGTCTTAGATTTTCTCAGCTTTTCCCCACAGACTGGTGCTACTACTTAAGCATACAGATGGATAAACTTTTGTTTCTGCTTGTTTGATTTCTGTGTCACTGAAGAATTCTAGATAACTGTGGATCAGCCACACAAGTCAGTCAATATAGTTCCAATTAGTTGTTCTCCTCAAAATAGTTTTATGCTATGCCCTAGAATATGGTCTCTTAAACTGCTGTCAGCTGCCTCATGTGGTTTTAGCCATGAGATTCAATTTGCAAGACACCTTGGCATTTTCTGAAGTTTGGTCTGTTTTTTTAAGTTCTTACACTCTGTTTCTGTAACTTCCCTTCCTTACATAAAAAGGTAAACCCACTTTCAATTTCTCAAGTAGCCTAAAATAAAATCTAAAATAACTGTTTCTTTATTAATTTTCTCCATCTCTTAAAATGAAGGTCTGTGCTAAACAAAGGATTTCTTGGACTTTGAGCATGGTGTTCTGATTTTCTTTTCTAGAAGCAGAATATGTCTTGCTTTCTCTACCAGATCTATTCTTTCAACAATTCTTTTAATTTCTGCCCCCAAATAACCCTTAGCAATTTCCTTCTTTTCATGAGGGTGCCTGTGGTGGTTTGACCCTGGCTGGACGCCAGGGGCCCACCAAAGCCACTCTATCACTCCCCTCTAACCGGA